TGACCAGATGTCCTGATTTTATAGGGACAGTCCCGGTTTTGTGTTTTTTTTTTTCTTATATAGGCACCTATTACCCCCCACCCTCTGTCCCAATTTTTCACACTTGCCCTCTGGTCACCCTACTCGTAGCTGAAGTTATGTATCTTAGATCGATCCCCCCCCCAGTGTAGACTAGCCCTAAGGAACATAGGGACAGCTCCCACAGTACACATCAGAAATGTACAGAGCTCCATAAAGTGCAGAGAAGGCAGTGGGACAGGCACTGCATAGGCTAGATGGAATGCAGACTGCACCACCATATAGCTGATCACATGTGTTAACAAGAAAGGTTCACATCTGAGCTGGAATTCAATTGGCTATAACAAGAAAGTATGTTTTAAAAGATTTTTTTCATGGTAAATTTTATTTTAACAAAAATTAGAGACATTGCCAAAACAAGTCATTAGCAACCACACAACAGCCACAAAACCTTTACACAAACAAGGTTAGTTGCCTAGAACTGATTGAATGAGTAAAGTCCAATTACAGTACATCCTTGGAAAGAGGACAGACATTGACGAGCTTTCCAGATCAAGGAGGGAGGTAGCAGAAGGGTTGGATATCAGAACAATTAAAAGGGAGGCTGGCAAGTATAAGAAATTATAATTTTCTAGCGTATAAAGCAGCAAACAACAAACAAACAAACAAACCCATAGATGACATCAAAAAGTTGGTCTTAAAAAAACATGAGAAAAGCCCATTTCCTTTTGGCCAAAATTTGAGCCATATTTCAAGCAATATGGGATTGAATTCCAGATTACCTGAGTAAGGACTGGTTAAGAAACCCAGGGTTTGGACCTATGAAAGAAATAACAGTCCAAGCTATGCAGAAACATGATCAGGTTCAGGAAACAGCATTGTCTGGATCTCCATTAAGTGAGCCCCACTGTGTTGTATCTTCATTTTCTCAGAGAGGGTGACAAAAAAGACCCACACAAGAGACAAGGAACGGAGATCAGCATGGCTGCATAGAACACTGAATGGGAACAAGAGACAGCATAACAAGCAACATTTGTGTTGACATTCATGCTCGAGCAGCTGCTGCCATTGAGGATGACAGAAAAAAGTGAAACAGGTAGAAGAACAGAGAGCACCAACCGATTAGTAACAACTTTGACAAGGAAAAACCACATACATTGCAGGCCTCCTTTTTAGTGACAAACAGCCTTGTCTTGCATATATCATCAGGATCTAGTGCATTATCATATTGGATCCAAACAAATAGACTCAGCCAGTAGACAGAAAAATATAAAGATATATCTGGCTCTCTTGCTGACCTTTGGAACGCTTTAAACATACCCCAACACTACAGTGTAGCTGGACACTGCAAAGAGGGTGACATGCTGGTCTCATTGAAGACAATGGCAAAACTCCACTGACTTCAATGGGGCCATGATTTCAGCCAGAGTATTTTTATTCTGTATCCAATCCATTCACAACATGTCAATCTTCCACAAACATTAATGGATTTAAAGTGTGGTCATACTCTGCAAAAAAACATTAAAGGGTTCCCTGTTTATGGTCTATCCATCTAGAGGACCCAATCTGGCATTCCTTGTACAAAATCTCACTTAGGCCAAGGAATGGCAGAATAGGCTATAAATGTCCTCCATTAACAATGTTGCATTAGGTTTGTATTTTAATTGCCAGTCTTACAAACTCAACTGGGAATCTGGGAACGTCAAGCTTGGCTCTTTCTGCCGAATGTCTCATCATTAATGAAGATTTCTGTGAATGGAATTTAGTTAATTCTAATGATAATGCTTGAGTCAGAAAAGAATCCAGAGATCATTGTCTCACAGTTATATTGGTTCCGCATTGCTAAGAGAAGTAGTAAAAACATTTTTCTTACTAAAGTCAGCAGCTATGACTTAGAATATACATGGTAAACAAAGTGGGAAATGGCAATTTTTATGTTGTCACTATTCTAACCAATAGAAGACTAACTGTAAGCACACAGTGCAAAAGGAAAAGATATATAAAAGATCGCCATACAATAAGATCTATTGCATTGTTATGGTCTAATCTGGACATTAGCAAAAAAAAAATATTTCTCAAAATAACTGCCCCAAAAACCTCAAACTATACATTTTCTTTTTGTTTATGGTCTTTATATTCTAGCCACACAATA